CCCATCCTAGCTCTGGGAATAAAAGGCAGGGATGGAGATGAATAGATGTGGAAGACAACTATTCATCTTCTGGCCGGAAGGCCTTGTTAGCCTGAGGCGAGACAAAAACTTTTTGGCGGGGCTGCCGGCACTCCTAATTAAAGGAATCTTTGAGTTCACTTCAGAGGGTTTGTCGTGTTTGGGAGACCTGGGCCAGAACATCTTGGTCCTCCAAAGTCGACATCAGGAACGGCTGAAAAGATCCCTAAAAGCTCGGCTATTCCTGCCATTTCTGAACAGGTTTTTGGTTTTTAGCCAGCCTCTGCCCCAGATGTGCTGATTTCAGCTCTTCTTTGGCCTGCTCTTTTGTTCCACTCAGGACCAGATTGTCCCAAATAAATCACGGTATATGTGGCAGAGGTGAATCCACCAGGCAATTTACGGAAGAGCGTCTGTGTTACAAAAATGCTGCCAAAGTCATTTGCAAGGAAGCTAATTCATTACAGAGAGAGAGGGAGGGAAAGATATCCTTTGCTTTAATTTGCAAGGAGATAGAATGGAAGGGACATATTACAAGGAAAAGTCATTACTCTATTGCTTCCTCCTTGTGTTTCCTGCCAAGTGTGCAGGTACTTCCTGCCAAGTACTTTGTCATGGTTTAGCCGAAAATGGTTATGGCCTACCGTATATTTTCAGGTGTCAAGAAGTTCAGGAGAGGTACCTTTGGAGGGAAAAAAAACCCCTCTCTTTATCAGTTTATTGGTGACTTTATTTGTCAGAGAGATACCTCAAGAGCAGAGGCGAGGAGATGTAGAAGGTTTATGAATTAGTCTCGGAGCTTTTAAGGTTGTTTAAGCATTTCTGGTTGGGGAATTCTGAGTCAAAGTCCACTTTTTTTAGAGTCATCGAAATGGAGAAGCACTGGTCTAAATTGCTGAATTTCACCGTTCTGGGTGAGAATCTAGCTAGATTCATACGTTCTGCTACTCTGCTTTCTTGAGTCTACTTTTGAAAAAGATCTGTGTCTTTCTGAAAAATAAATATGCTGTCTTTTGTCTCTGTATATCAGGGGTCCTCAAACTTGGCAACTTTAAGACCTGTGGATACAACTCCCAGAATTCCTCAACTAGCTACCTCTGCTATATCTATCTATCTATCTATCTATCTATCTATCTATCTATCTATCTAT